CACACCATCAACCCTGCCCGGCCTCCTCCACGCCCTGCCAGCGTACCCCCTTGTTTGGGGGGTTTGGGTCCCGTCTGGGTGCTCCCTGCTGGGCCGTCTCCCCACTCACACACACCTGGGTCTCGGCACGCAGGACGCAGCACGGAGGCTGGAGTCTCTGTGTCTCCACGAGGCCTGGGAAGGCAGCCACGGCCAATGTCCTCTCAACACCACAGAGATGTTTGCGGGCCACACCGCTGCGTCCCTCTCCTGTTTCCCGGACATGCGGGCACTCACTCACCCCCGCCTCACCCATCCTTGGCATTTTCCAGAACCTGGAACCTCAGGGTTCTTCCCGTGTCCAGGGGAGGCTGCTCCTTGCGGGAGGTCACAGGGCCATGGGCCCCCAACGCTGACACGCCCCCAGCCCACCTTCCTCCTGTGCAGACAGAAGCCCACCCGTGCCTCGAGGGCTCTGCCACCCCTGGCCCACTTGCCCCCGGGGAGCTGGCCGAGGGGATCTGGCGGGTGTGGCGATCCTTGGGGGACAGGGCTCAGCCGAGGGGTGTCTCCAGCCAAGTGGGCCACAGCAGACAATAATCATAAGATTAGCGTACGATGTGACTGTGGACCAGATGGAAAACTGAGGCTCAGAGGTGAAGAAATCTGCCTGTGGCCGTGCTGGGGGTGGCCGAGACTGCACGGTCACCCTCCGTGAAGACTCAAAGGGCGGGTGGGGGTCGGAGGGGAGCCGGGAGGGACCTCGCGTCCCAGGCCCTGCCCCCAGAGCCCGGCGTCCACTCTGACGTCCCCCAGGCCATGGAGCTGCTGGTGGAGAAGGCTCTGAGCAGCGTGACGGAGCCCCTGGGCCCTGGGGATGCTGTGAGACGGGTGCTGGAGTGTGTGGCCGCAGGGACGCTCCTGGCAGGTCAGTCGCTGCAGAGAGCCTTAAACGCGGAGGCGAGGGCAGGGGCAGAGGGCCATCCCAAGCGGGGGGGCGGGTGGGATGGGCCCTTCTCATGGTGGCACCTCCCGGAGGGCAGGGAGACAGGTCATAGCAGCAAGGGGCAGCCTTCTGGCCAGGCAGCTCCGTCTCCAGTGGCCACGCCCACCATCGCCACCCCAGAGCCCCCGGGGCCACTGCCCTCCTGGGGACATTCGGAGGCAGCAAACCAAACCTGGACAGTCCGGTGAGCAGAGACATGGAACACGGGCTCCTGGCAAGAGAAGAAAGTGCCAGGGCACACTCAGATGGGGGGCAGAGATGGAAAGCGGGTTCTCAAGTAGTTCTTAGCGACACAGGATGACATTAGGTGGAAACGGAGCTGCGGTCTGAGCCATGTCACCAAGAACACACGTGGGCAGACCAAAGCTAGGGGGACCGGGTGCAGTGGCTCATGCCTGTCATCCCAGCTCTTTGGGAGGCCGAGGTGGGAGGATCGCTTGAGGCCAGGCGTTTGAGACCAGCTTGGACAACAGAGTGAGACCTTGCCTCTACAAAAAATAATAAATTAGTCAGGAGCAGTGGTGTCTGGAGTCCCAGCTACTCGGGAGGCTGAGGCGGGAGGATCGCTTGAGGCCAGGAGTTGGAGACCATCCTGGGCAACGCAGCGAGACCCTGCTTCTACAAAAATGATCGCCACAAAAGGAGACCCGGGAGCCTGGTGTGCCTTGTGGGGCCATGGGAAGAGGCCACCAGGAGAGGCCGTGTGCCAGCTGAAGACGGGCCGGCCCGAGTAGGGGGGTGCGGACTTGGCCCCGTGCACGGTGCAGTTGAACAGCCGTGTCCTGACAGTAATGAGTGTGTTCTCGCATTCCCTGCCGACCTCCGTAAAGATGGGCCTGGGCTGCAGGACCCCTGTGAGCGGGAGCGGACGGACGCCCTGGAGCCCCTGACCCCCCAGGAGCGGGAGGACGTGACAGCCAGCGCCCAGGTAGGAGGCCTGGGTGGCAGCACCAGGGTCCCAGCTCCGACGAGCAGCTGTGGTGTCCCTCGAAACAGCTGGGGCTCCCCTTCCCTCCCTCCTAGCGAGACGTCCGGTATCGGGAGGGCTATGGGGGCAAGGGTGCTCCCGGGACAGAGCCGAGGCTGCCACCGGAATGTGCACAGGCCTCAGGCCCCGCTGACAGGGGCCATCCTGATGTCCCTCACCCCACCGTGGTCCACAAGATCCCAGCCAGCCCGGCCCACCCGTGGTTTCGTCGTTTGCAAACTTGTTTATAAGAAAAGTTTCCCAGGCCCACCGTGGTGGCTCACACCTGTAACCCCAGCTCTTGGGGAGGCCAAGGAGGGAGGATCGCTTGAGGCCGGGAGGGCAAGACCAGCCTGGGCAACATAGTGAGACCTCATCTCAACCAAAAATAGAGAAATTAGCTGGGCATAGTGGTGCGTGCCTATAATTCCAGCACTTTGGGAGGCTGAGGCGGGCGGATCACCTGAGCCCAAGAGGTCAAGGCTGCAGTGAGCTGTGATGGTGCCACTGCACTCCAGCCTGGGCAACATAATGAGACCCCAACCCAAAACAAGCAAAAAGGAAACGCCTCCCAGCAGCACCACAGTCAGACTGCAGTGGGTCTGACGTTTATGACTCACCTTCAACGGCACAAGCAGAACTTACCCCAGCACATGGCCTAAGCTTGGCAGCCACCGGAGTATCTTGGAGCATGCAGGACAGGCGTGGCCTGTCCCCTGGCACCGTGGGTGCCAGCCTCCCCTTACCCCGGTGTCTGGCCCATGGCGAGTGGGCCGGCAGGGCCCTGACGGCCACATGTGTCCACAGCATGCCCTGCGCCTGCTAGCTTTCCAGCAGATCCACTGGGTCCTGGGCATGGAGCCCCTGCTGTCCAGGCGCCGGTTCAGGGCCTGCCTCCGGAAGAGGCCGCGGGAGCCGGGCGAGGCCGGGGAGGCCGAGGAGGGTGCGGGTGAGAGGAAGCAGAGCCGGCCAGGCGAAGAGGGGCTGGTGTGAGCCCCCACCAGGGCCTCCATGCCCGGACACGCGTGCATGCCGACCAGTCGCTGTTTCATCCTGTCGCGGGACAGTGGCGTTTCCTTTCCAGTCACCTTCTGAGGTTTCCTTAAAAACCCTTGTGCTGGCTGGGCGCGGTGGCCCATGCGTGTAAGCCCCAACCCTCGTGGAGGCTGAGGCAGGAGGATCGCTCGAGCCCAGGAGTTCGAGACCAGTCTGGGCAACATAGCGAGACCTCGTCTCTACACACAGTGAAAAAGTGAGCAGGGCGTGGTGGCACTTGTGGTCCCAGCTACTCAGGAGGCTGAGGTGGGAGGATCACTTGAGCCCAGGAGGTTGAGGCTGCGGTGAGTTATGGTGGTGCCACTGCATTCCAGCCTGGGCCACAGAACAAGACCCCAGCCCACCCAGCCTCCCCGCAGACGGGTGGAGCAGCGGGCAGCACGCCAATGCTGAGCTCTGGAATTTCTGGCTGGCTTTGAGCTCTCCCGGGAGAACAGAGGGGGTAGACTTCCAAATTGCTTCCCTCAGAAGCCCCTGCCCCGTGGGTTTGAGAGAATATGGGCAGACTCCACCCGGAGCCCTCAGGAAGGCTGTCCTGGAAGGTTCCAGAAGAGGCCACCGCAGAGGCAGGCCTGGAGCGCGGGGTGTTGGGTCCACGTGAGCAGGCCCAAGTAGCGCCACCATCCTCACCTCGGGGCAGGACGAGCCCCAGGCCCCCAGCCCAGCCTGTCCTAAGCAGACTCTGGCCCCAGCCCCAGGGCCTGGAGGCTGAGCCGGGCTCATCCCCGGTGGGACAGCGACAGGGCTGGGTGGACACCGCCCCAGCGGGGAGTGTGCGGGCTGGGCCTCCCTTGGGAAACAGCCGCGACCCAACAGTCCAACCCTGACCCCAGAGATACCCCCACCCGCACCCCAAGCCACTGAGTGCCTTCTGCAGAGAGGGGCCCTGTGATGCGCACTCAGGCCCGCCCTCCCTGCTTCCCTCCCTCCCTCCCCAGTCTCATCCGGCCAGAGGCAGGGTCTCCCCAGGCAGCCCCCTTGGGAGCCGAGCCATGACCGAGTCTGGAGGGCCCCGAGGGCGCGGCCTTCCCCTGGGCTCCAGCCTAGGCGGAGGACCCCTGCCCGCTCCGCTCAGCCCCAGCCAACCCTCTCCCCTTCAAGGAGTTTCTTGGCCGCCTGCCTGAGGGCCATGGGCGGAATGTCCACCTCTGGTCACTGGACTCCCTCGGTTCCACATCTCTCACATGTCAAGGACAGCCCATGTGTGGCCCGTCTGTGTCACCGCAGAGCCACCTGGAAGTGGGGGAATAAAGCAGGTCTGTCTTCCGTGTGGCTGTGCCGTCCTTCTGTGGGTGACCCCAGCACCATGCCCTCCCCTGCTTCTTGGGGTCTGGGGCGGGGATGGGGAATGGGCCCAGGCAGCCTCTCTGGGGGGCTTTGCAGCCCAAGGGGGTCCTCAGGGGCCAGAGCTGTCTGGCGGCTCCTCTCCGAGCCATGGGCTCCCTTGGCCGGTCCCCACACGAGTTCCCTGGGCACAGAGAGTAGCACCCACCTCCACGTAGCCTACCACCAGCCCTCGGCCTCGGCTCTGGGGGCTCCTCTGGCCCAGGAGACACGATAAGAGGTCAGGAAGTCCCTGAGGGCTTCCCGGAGGAGTGGGCAGCTGAACTGGGTTTGGGAGAGGTGGCTCTGCCCACGGAGCGCTTCCCCAGACCCTTATCACAGACCTCAGGGTGGCAGGGCTTCAGATGAGGGGACCAGGTCACCGCAGGCTTGTGTTGTGACCCAGCGTCCAGCCCCCTGGGGCTCCCTGGGCAGCAGGGGGAGGGGGAGGAGGCAGGGACTGGGTGGGGAGGGACCCCCTGCTCAGGCCCAGGCCAGAGGGCGGGGGGGAGCCAGCCAGGGGCCAGAAACAGGAGACCTCCCTGGGGGCCACAGAGCTCCCCGCTCCACCTCCTCCCTCACAGCCTCCCCCTTGCCTCCTCTCTTCTCCGCGAGGACTGTGGTTATGACCGAGTGGCGAGAAGGAGACACGCCAGCACGCCAAGCCTAATTATTTATGAGTTCTTTATAACGCGCGGGTCAAGAGCAGGCAAACACCAGAAAATCTCTTGACAGACTAGCGCGGTTTGCGACAAGCTTTTATTGGTAAAATCTGCAGCGCTGGCTACATAGCAACTTAGCAACCCTAGCAACCACGAACTAACAACCTGGCAACCAAAACGGAAACTTTTGATTGTTAGAGAGTTTTGATTAATTTTATGTCCCAGGTATAGCCGGTGCCTGGAAAATCCCTGGAATTTTGCCAACAAGATAGAGTTTAAGGCAGTTACATAGGGACAAGGTAGAAGAATCATGACACAACGGAGTTACCTGGGTCAGGTCACTAACAAAATATAGGCACAAAATAGGAAAATGTAGCCGGGCTCGGTGGCTCAGCCTGTACTCCTGCGCCTTTGGGAGGCTGAGGTGAGGGGATTGCCTGAACCCGCGGGTTCGAGACCCGCCTGGGCAACTTGGCGAGCCCTCATCTCT